CGGCAACGTCGTACATAGATGTCTTATGTGGATAGTGGTTACGTGAGCGATTTTTATGAACTGAGTTACGATTTTTCTCGATTTTTTGAGTAGTTGAATCTTTTTAGTTTTTGGCTCGAAACTCGTGGTGGATTAGAGCTGTTGCAAAATCAAGACTGCCATCTTGTAGAGCTTGCTTTGCTCTATCGAATGATGTATTGCTCCCTACTTAGAAATGAGAAGTGTATGACTTATTGCGGTTGGAATTCAAAACCTGCATTAATTTCCGGACAACCTAATATATGCTCCAGACGATCTCAGATCGTCTGGTGACCGTCTGGCTGAACGCTCTTCATTACTGTAGGATTATGGTAGGAACTTTCAGCTTATACAGTGCTGGCCATAGCTATAAAGTCACCCTAAAAATCACCGTAATTTGCTCTCTCTTGCTCATAATTGTCTGAAAAATCACTATTTTGTGCGCAAACTAACGTCATACCATTGACCAAAACGGCTCCCAATTTTATGGATTTTGGCCGGAGAAAACTTTAGAAATTTGAAAAAACGGGTCCCGAAGGCTGGTCACAGCTATAAAGCCACCTCTCATTTTCAATCAGTACTACATTTTTTGAATCTCAAATTTTTTGTACATATACAACATCAAAATATGAAACATTTTTACACTTGAAAGGAGTCGCCTTTCAAAAAGAAGATTCGTACTGCATTTTTTGCCCTAAATTGCATAATAACTCACATTATTTGCATAAAACTGCTTTTTCACTAAATTTTGAAGCACTTGTTTGACTCGGATGAACGTCCTAGGATTTGCTTAGCCTTTGCAATGAAAGAGGTGAAAAGTGCTGAACTCAACATTGCGTAGTCGCTAATCTTGGTAAACGAGCCTCATCTTACCGAGGTGTAAGCGCGCTTCTGAGGCGCAAAACTAGATTTCTGACACGCGAAAACTTTTGGTTGGAAGTTGACACCTTGTCTGCATGGCGACGTACTCATGCAGAAGCCGCCAGGTTTTTTTTACAAAGACCTATTTGCCGCAATGAAGTTAGAACGCTTTGTCTGCAGTTCGGTTGTGCGCAGTGTACCTCACAAGACTTCAAATTTCACTGCTTTGAACTCCTCATCAATTCAAATCTTACTAAACTGTCAGGAATAGAAGGATTTTGAACTTCTGAGCGGTTTTCCGCTCGATCGAGGTGGTTAGAGTGGATCATGATCAGACGGAGTGCACCACTCATTTTTGAAAAAAAGGCGTCCAAAGCGGAACCAGAGTCCTCAGAGTTGCGATGACGTACAGGCTATGCACATGAGTCTGTCGTTATACAAGCGACGTGCTGAGCACGCGACAGAGCTTTTCGGGCATTAGAACTCAATTTCTGCGGTTCGAAAACTCGTCTACCTGGAGGTGAGGTTGGGGCTCGTTTATCAATATCAGCGACTACGCAATGTTAACTCAAGCGCTTTTCGCCATATTCATTGCAAAGGCTCGGCAAAGCATAGGGCCTTCATTCGAGTCAAACAAGTACTTCAAAATTCAGTGAAAAAGCAGTTTTTTGCCAATGATGTGACCTATTATGCATTTTAGAACAAAAAATGCAGTACGAATCTTTTTTTTGAAAGGCGACCCCTTCAAGTGTAACAAATGTTTTATGTTTTGATGTTCTATATGTACAAAAAATTTGAGATTTAAAAAATGTAGTACTGATTGAAAATGAGAGGTGGCTTTACAGCTGTGACCAGCCTTCGGGACCCGTTTTTTCAAATTTCTAAAGTTTTCTGCGGCCAAAATCCATAAAATTGGGAGCCGTTTTGGTCAATGGTATGACGTTAGTTTGCGCACAATAGTGGTTTTTCAGACAATTATGAGCAAGAGAGAGCAATTTACGGTAATTTTTAGGGTGGCTTTATAGCTATGGCCAGCACTGTAGCGTCATTACGGATTCATCGGTTTCTAAAAAAGTTTCCAAAAAATCTGAAAAGTGGTGTACCAGGGTTTTTAACCTCACTGATTTTATTATTCAACTTTTTGCGAGTTTGCAAAGTTTTTAGAATGGTGTAATCACTATTTTATGGAGTCTAGTAAAAACGGCTGTTGCGGTCTACCTGGCACAAATTATGAAGGAAGCACTGCGGTAAAGTGCGAAACTCTTTGGTTTTAGCGGCCTGAGTTGACTTATTATAAAAATTTTCCGGTTGTTCGGTTTGCTTTCTGAGGTGAAATAGGCCCTCGATGGCTTACAACCCTTCCTGAATTTTCTAACGCGATCCTACAGTAATGAATAGCCACCGGTGATACGCTCCATACTGCAAATCTAAGTTGAAGCCGTCTTTACAAAATAGTGCTTAGAGGTAGGCAAAAGACTTCTTGGGAAAAGAGATGTCGACGATCAAACAGTGTATACATAAGTTTAGGACACCCTGTATAATAATATCATCAGTGGTCCTCATCATGTGTACATCATCTGTCCAGCTTTCTTATGAATGCACTTTCATTTCTTCAACAAAGAACAGTAAGGATTGCAGTTTTGAGGTTTTTTTTGCAAAATCAAAAAACTTTTCCAATGTTCCAGCTGCCAATCAAAAAACCTCTTCTTGCTTGTTGAAATTGCATCTGTCTATCGCGTTATCACCAATCATAGGCAGAATATTCTATGTGCTTCCATTCCTAATTTTTCACTCAGGGTGCGTTGCTGTGTTGCCGAATTTGAAGATGGGTTCAAAACATCACCCATAGGTCAAGAATAAACGTTTTAAAGTTTTTGTTGGAAGAAACCCGAACGATTTGATGTGTATTGTTCTGTTTTTCTTGAATCTTGGCAAGTATAACAGATTTCGATGTAAGTTAAAACGTTTAGTGCTGAATGTTCCATTTTGGAGCTCTTATTATAACATCGACAATCGTCCCATTTGATTATGATTTATTGATATATGTAATGATGGAATTTTGTGGTGCACTTGTGAGATATTCTCTGCTGGTTTCCATCAGAATTATCTACTAAAAGAAATTTGAAATATTGTTGAAGAGACAGTCCCCAAAAAAAGAAATAAAGATGAATAAGCTCACTCTTAGTCGATATCGTATGGGCTGTATTCAAAAAATTGTTTCTTTTTAAGCCCCATAAAAAGGAAAGTAAATTTAGCCCTCCCCCTCCTCCCACCATGATTTGCACATATATCCAATGAAGTACTAAAAGTACGAATTTATATTTACTTTGCTTTTATGTTTATCATGTACTATAAATCGTACCAAACGCTGGCTACAAATTTGATTGGATTATTCGATTGTTCACTTTTTTTACTCTGAACTGCAAATAAGACGTGTAGTCGTAGTCGTAACTAGTTACCAAAACTATGTGGGTCTAAGCAAAAAAATTATAAGGTGTTCGCTTATGCCGCTACGGTTCATCGATCAGACTCATAGAATGAATGATGTTGCCTTCACAGAGAAAGAACTGCGCCTCACCTGACAGATGTCAAAGAGCAGAAACACAGTCAGTTTAATGGCTGCTGATGATAGATTTTTCCAGCGCCGCAAAAATAAACAAATCAAATACCTTAGCCAGCGGTGCAAAAGGGGCTAAAGTGTTGGAATTCTCCTGTTTGCTGGAATTCGTTTTATTTTCTAGGTCAAGATTTTTCGCGGAATAGTGTGATAGTGTTGAAATGTAAATTTGATGATAGAAACTGTGCAGACGTTCTTATGAATTTCCTATCGGCAGAGTATTTCGGCAGTATGGGCAAGCCCAAATCCTAAAGTCTATTAGCCTTTATTCTATTGGAGAAATACACCTGTGCCATAAGCAGATGAAAACGCGTAGAAATACTTTTTTGAAGGCAGCGTCCAGGCATTTGGGCCTATGGGGATTTCACTTGGAGGGTAATCTTGGAGCCTTAACTAAAACACTACCCAAGCGGCAGCTCAATTGGTGAGCTCACAGTTGCGATACTCGCCTCCAGACTGGACCCCGGGATCGTATTCGCATGGAATGGCGCGACACATCAGTTTCGCGCGAGGACCCAGGCGTGTCGCGCTAATGCATGCGAGTACGATCCCGGGGGTCCAATTTGGAGGCGAATATCTCAACTGTGAGCTCACCATTTGAGCTGCCGCTTGAGCAGTGTCTTAGTTAGGGCCCCAAAATTACTTTCCACATCAGAACCCCGTATGTTCAGATTTGCCTGGACGCTGCCTTCAAGTCCTTATGTCACACTGGCAGAGGAGCTGTCTCACTTTGAGTTTTGATGGAACCCTTGCTTCTTTGTGTAATGAAGGAAGGCAAATCGTATAGAATGATGCCGGACAAGAGCCTGAAAAATTCAAGGAAAATCAAGAATGCGAAAACGGTCGAAACCCTTTCAAAACTATCATCTTCCTATGCTCCATTACATAGACTCTGAAATATACGGACACGCACTTTGAGAAATAAGAAAAACGATGTAGCTAAAAAATGGCAAACTCCGCCCCTTTCCTTGGATTTTTGCTAAAAATCCTATGAATAACATAATTATTTATCCATGACATAAATCTGATATGATATCAAAGTGAGCACTTACGAGGCAGAACCGTAAAGTAATCAGAATGAAAAGCTATCACAAGATGAGAGTGAAAAATTGCACAACTGTTTTCAATCTGCTGATAACGGAAAGCGCTTATATAAATTTGAAACATACAAGATTCGGAACTGAAAGCAACAGAGCTTTAAGATGACACTGAGGGCAGATGGGACGATCTCACCACTGGAACGATGAGCCAACTTTGTCAGAGAGTGAACGTAAACAAACAACATTGACTTGGTCATCAGGTAAGACTCACAGAAAAAAACACTCTTCTTAAAGATGACTAGAACATACTCAAGACCTTACTGCGCCCATAAAATTGATTCACAACCCCTACAAGTGCTTAATTTCATCCACAAGCTCCATTTTCAAAGTGAGGAATGCTCAGAGGAAAGCACAACGAATTTCAGACTATATTCTTGTTCACATCAGCCTCTTTTACATCTAGATTAGCATCTAGTTTCATACAAGCCAGATCTTCCCATGTAGCGCACCCATTTGATGACATCGTGATCCGAGTAGTTCAATTTAGATTCGAAAACCTTCAGATAGCGAACCTAGAACTCAGCCATATGTAAGAGACGCACAAACAAATCAAATGGCTATTACCTTGAACCCACTCGGTGCGAATGGAACCTCGAAATTGACGCTGACCGGAGGTCGATCCCAACGCTTCGGAGCCTGCAGAAAATGCGAAAATTTCATCCAACACTAAATATGCGAAGGTGTCTAAATCTCACCTGCACTCCAACAGTAAGTATATCAACTTCAGCGGAAATTTGAACTTCTTTACCACCCGCCAACCGCTTGATCTGCAAAAGTCACAATCAGTGCGTAACTGGGCTACCAAAAATAAGCCTCCTTCATAAGAAGGAGAATTATTTTTTGAGTACCTTTTCACTACAAAAGCATCATCAAGATGACAAGCATAAAATTGTTTCCAATTCTTTCGTTTAATTTTTAGAGATTTTTAACTTTTCGCTATCATGACTAATTTGTTTTAATATAATTTTGGAAGAGAAAATCTTCTTGATAAATATCTCCATGAGGTTCTACTATACACACATCACAGAAAAAAAAAGGAAATTTCAAATAAGGTCGCCAAAATGGGAACACTGCAGAAGAATCTAAGATCGTCAATAAATGGATTTTATAATTTACTTTTTTGCATACAAAAAAAGTTTGTGGTGTTGGAACGTTTCTGCGAGAAGGTAATCTGAGTCAACATAAAACGCCAAGATTGATACTTTTCTTGAAACTCATAACATTTCACAGAAACACCCAAACAGCACGACTTCTTCTCATACAAAAAGGTATGCCATGAAACTTTTGCACTAACGATCAGATTTTTCCGCAACGTTCCAGATTTGTGTCGACCTAACTCAAAATGAGCAAAGCCTGAACGATTCTTGGCCATTTTATCTCTGCAATGAGTGTATAATAAAAGCCCACGAAAACGCACCTATCAAGAAGAAAATTTCTTCTATTAACTTCTAATAATACCACACCATTCTTTAAAGACTACGTAGACTCAAACCCGTCGAGATAGCGAAATGTTACAAATTTTTACAGGACGCCTCAATATATCCACTGGGTATTCAGTCCAAATAATGGTCCGAATTTGTCGTCCCCAAAAAATGGTGCGCTTTTGCTTCTTGAGAGCAATAGCATTGTTACATGAATCTATCTCCAGTAACATGATTGTAGAAAAAAGCTGAAAAATTCCAGCTCTTACCTTCCACACGATGGCATTTTCACCTGCCTTGTACTTCGCTTTTCCCTTCATGCACAACAGATTCGCGCCACATGTATTGGGCGGTGTTGGAATGCGAACCTGGAGAGAAACATATGCAGGACAAACACATGATTCGTTGATGCTATCGGGGCTAATGGGTCGTTAACACATTCACGATCAGGCAGTTTTTTCTGGGTTCTTTTGTTTCGAGTCAAGAGCAAGTTTTGCAAGTCTTCATCGCAAGCTTTCAAAGGCCAGAACTTCAGAAAACGTACGACTCACTGGTGGGTCCCATAGTCGTGAATGCGTTAACAAACAAAAATGGAACCACTTCTCACCTCTATCTTCTGCCCAACAAGGTTTTGCTTGTACTCAGCCTTGAGCACGACCTTGATTTCTAGCTTTGATTTGCTCACTTCCTTTACCAAAGGAATGACTCTGAAAGGTATTTGACAATATGAAGATAGTATAAGTTGATGTAAATCTGAGCCAAAAATTCAATAGAACAATTTCCTGATCAGCTCTATAGCGTATGGTATTTAATTTGATCAGCATGATCTCGAGTTTAACATATTGACAACCATGCAGATTTTTAGTTGTCTGCCTTCTGGGACCAAGGCCTTTTACGGGCTAGCCCACATTTTTCAACTATAATTAGTTGTATGCAGATGCACCATTGCATGTTGCCATCTACAGCACACCTACAGTGAATCTGAAAGGCTGAATAAAAAAAGTAAAGGTCATCCCTAGATTCAGTGCAGAAGAAAGCTCATGGGCTATCGTAATCAGGCGAAACATACCTGAAAGGCAACTTGATATCTTGCGTGGTGCGATATTTTATCAATTCACAGGTTCCATCCGGAGGAATAAACGAGATCGCTCGATCACTTTCGAATTTTCCTAGTCGAACACATTGATGAAATTGAATGTCATCGATGGCAACCATCGTCCGAGCACTGAGAAATACATGATTGAAGAAATAAGTCCTTTGACTATCAAAGATCAATTGACTTACGGTTTACTTGGATCATCATATTGATTTCTAGAACTCGACTGCTGCAGCGTAATTTTATCATTGATTCCGAATTTACATTCAGGCATTCCAGACAAGAAAGACTTCATCAATACTTTACCAGCAACATTGACCGATAAAACTTGGCCTACAATGAGTAGAGTACAAACGCAGTATAATTTCTTTATCCTCATTTTCAACTAAGCTTAAAGAAGTATCCAAACTAATCTGAATGGCCGGATGTCTCGTGTGGGAACTGATTGGGGAGCTCTAAGCCGTTTCCCAAAGCTCACATGACTCACTTGTGACCAAGCAGCACCCGAAACTCCAGCCCAAACCGTACTTTGATCGTACCCAAAGACGCTGATTGGCCCGTTTGGAGAGGATAGCAACTTTTTCAGTATTTATACCCACGACCACCCATCATATATGATGTGGTCGTGGGTATAAAGCGTTTGTAAGGTCGTCGCGCGTTGAGCGTTTGTAAGGTCGTCGCTGGCCGCCTGCATGGCGCGAGTCCCTGAGTAGGAGCTTTCGCTTGGGCACTGGCTTAGTTGAAACCTCAATCATCCACATAAGAGATAACAGGTACCCGTCAGCGGCAGAGCAAAGGAGAGGGGGGTGGATCGTGAAATTTTTGAGATCTGTCCAAATGAGTTATTGAAATGCGTGACTTGTTCATAACTGTAAATAATTAGTATCATTCCTAGAAGTGTTTGAGAATTTGACGGCTTGTAAAATTTTCTCGCGAGCGTGGCGGCAGCCACATCATTCTTCCAATTTTATTGTTATGGGCCCGCAAAAATTTTGTCGCCCTCCCCCTCCCTCCCACGAAATCCTGGCACCGCCACTTGCCCAAATTTGCCTGGACTCGATAAACTTACTTTCAAGACTTTGGCGGCAGATAGCAACGAAAGCAAAATTCGTAGAAGAAATTTCTTTTCAATCTAGTGTACCTCTGTCCGAATTTGAGTTTTACTAACCTTGTTGATTCATCAAAAGATTGACACACTCCACAACATCAATAAAAAGCTCATTTCTACGATATTTTATACCTTCACGTCTCCAGCTGATCTGTCCGGTCACCTCAAAACGTACACAGTGTCAGACGACCAATGTGATATCGTACTGTACTTGCATACCTGACTAGTGATCTGTTGCTGTTCTTCTCTGGTCACACCACGTACACCAGTTTGTGTTATGTAAGTCTTCAGAGCCGCTGCATCTGTCATCTGAGGGTAACCAAAATCGACAAGTTCATCGAGGAGTTCATAAATAAGCACGAAATTCGAGCGAACACTGTCCTGAAAGCATCGAACTAAGGGGCCCGAAGTAGATGCACAGGAGGAAACAAGAGCTTGCCGCCTTTATCTGTTAGATATAAGAAGGTTTAGAATGCATTGAATTGTTGGCTACCATTTGAATGGTAGCCAACTTTTCAATGGAAAGAATGAAGTTGGCTAAAAAAGCAGGAGATATTATCAGATGCTTTAACTTATTCCGATGAGCGTTCAAATATGGCGAATAGATTTGACAAGCACTTTATCACATTTTTTCATTTTCAAATATTTCTCACAAACAACATAAGCTAAGGGATTTCATAATTAGAAAGGTTGTCAATTATTTTTTGTACTTGAAAACGAAAAGAATATCGACTAACAAAATATAATCTGCAATTTTTGCATTGCTCTACAGGTCAGGATTCTGTAACTGAAACTCCCTCAAAATGTTCAGTAATCACAGAATATCAGTATTTTTGACAAAGACCGATGAGCAATGAATAGAAGTTGCAGAAACGGGTCATGTCCCTGTGATCCCATGGTTATATCTACAATAAGGCTTTGTGACGATTAGACGAGCTAAAAATTCTCTCCAAATCTGTTCACAGAACCTGTTAACCTTAGGAGTTATACCGTTTATTACCGAACGATCCAGCTTTTCTAGCCAATTTTTGCTTCAGTTTTCACATCTGTACGTGCGCTCTTGATTTACTCCAGGCATCTGACGCAACATTTGGGTTTCTTATTACCACAACTCGTATAACAACCTTCCACATCAGACATCCTCTTTTTTGAAAAAAAATTACCTCTGTAATTTTTCCAAAATATTCAGCCATTGTTGTAGCAAGTTTTTGTAATATCTGAAAGTAAAAAATGCAAGGAAGTGCCTAAGAAAAACTCCAAGATCACCTCAAAAACAGCAGCAGCGTTCGCATCCAGCCTGGTGGCTGCGACCATCCATACAGATCCACATTTTCGATGAAAAAATGATGTCCGCCCAATCAAGTTGATGGGAGATCTCACCTACAGAAATTATTCATCAAGCTCCAGCAAAAATCAAAATTAATGAGGCTAGTAACAATACCTGCTGCCGCGCATGTATAACATTGACCCGAAATGCATTGACAGCGTCTCTAGTGATATCATCGCGGAATATCCGGCAAATCAACACTTCGCCCTTCAAATTCTAGTGTCAAATGACCAAACAAATGAAAACGCTTTTGCAATGAACAAAGGTATAATCGATGTGTCATTTCAGCGTCATTTCAAAGATTTTAAGTCGAAAATTTTTAAAAGCATATAAATGACTTTCTAGGCAGATGATTTGACAAAACAGCAACGAGGTGAAGTTTCAACAACTCAGTGACTACTGCACACGTTTAACAGATCCAAAGGTGCGCCCAAACACTACAAGTCCCTGTAGTCAGAATTGCGCAAATTTTTCGATTCACCCTAGATCCGTGAACCAATGACATATTCTGCGCGAACTTTTGACTTCACACTTCTTCTCATAAATCCTCTAACTTTGAATTGTCGCAGATCTGCTTTAAAGTCTCAAAAATCTGCCAAGAAAAAGATGGGGAATTGCGTGAAAGGGGCGTGGTCCGACAATGAGTCGTTCACAGGGTTGTGTTTGATGGACCGTCGGTCTATTTGATGACAACTTTCTCCTTTCTAGACTCTAAGTTGCAATTCAAGGCAAGACCAATCAAGAACACTATCACTGTACTACAACACAGTCGATCCAGGTGACTTCACTTGGAATAAGCATGAGAAGATGAAGAATTTGGAGCGAGAAAAAGAAATGAAGACTAGGTCGCCATTTAGACTGTGTGTTTGTCATGGTAATGGTAAAAGACACTACTGAATGAATAGGCGGAAATAGTGAAGCAGTTTAGTGTAAAAGTGTAGGAAGGTCAAGGAGTAATTGTAACGTCGTCGATTGAATAGCAGATTCTTCAGTACAGCTCAAATTAGGTTTCAAACTCTTCTTGACATAATCATGGACTTGATATATCAGAAAGAACGGGTTTGAAGGAAACTAAAGGATAAGAAGGAGAAAACTGATTACATTCTATAAAACCCCACGCATAATTTCAAAATTGAGATCACTTTTTTCACATAGAATACTTCAGAAAAGGTATGATCTCACCTTATGATTGTAAAGGAAAAGACCTCCAATCATTCTTCTATGGACATTCGGTATCAGTATAACATTACTGATGTTATACTTACTGTCTACCTGAAATGTCCAACTCTCCTACTGTAAGCAGTAAATTCTCTGTAAAGGTTGTATGACTAAAATATGTATGCTCGCAACATGTTATCGTAGCAGATTCGGACATAATGGAGATTTTTATTGTATGCTACAATCAGCTACGATCCGTATCTACAATATGAAAAATCACAGAACCAGACGAATTACTAAATTCTGGAGGCAATAGAAAGACATGATACAAAAGGAAGCGCAATACCAGTAAAATTTTGGATGACTGAGTTTGACGTATACAAAAAGCTGCTGAGAAGCAATAAGAGGAAGTGATGTCAATAAGTTACAAGGCAAGTAAACGTCACAACGAAATCAAAAGTACCGTTCCCAGTTTGAGTCGTCAGCTGGTGTAAGGTTACCAGTGACAAGAAGGAATATGTCGATGATCCACCATACTCCCAATCCGCCGAGAGTCATTAATTTGCCCACCGCAATTGCCGAGTAACCCAAACAAAACCTGTCAACGGCGACAACTCCAAGAAATACGGAGTATAAAAGCGTTGACAGGAAGTGATGTCCTGTATACCTGCAAGTCAAACCCGACATCTTACACATAGTGATACTAAAGTACATAATTCTTCTAGAGCCATAAGAGCGTAACGCGCATTATTTTCAGACTATATGATTTTAAAGACTCACTTGATGCAGGGCACTCGTTTTAAGAAATGCCGTCGTCCCCTACATTCAATGCAGGGCAGAGCTCGACAAGCAACATGAGTCCACTCCATATCTTCAGCTTTTTGTCCTCCAAATCTTGTGCAATAGCCGGTATCCTGAAGGATTCCCTGCATAAAAGCATTAACTTCGATAGTCAAAACATACAGCTGTATCATTATGTGTCGGAGGAGCTAATTCTGGCATACTGCATTCGATGAACTCTTCAGGTAGGTAATCACATGGCACGAGAGGGCCCATAGGATATGAATCCTCCATTTCCTGCATGCACGAATCTGCCGCTGAGCGCTCTCTATCCAACGCTGCCTTTGATACTGTTAGCACCACCTACAACTTCAAATGTGGGGGTACGGCAACATGTGCGAATAAATGAATATGATATCAACAATCATAATCATGAAGAAAAATGTAGACTTATTAGCAAAGCAAAAATAGTCAGCGCTCATCACTTTGCTGCAATGGCAGACCGAGCACGGGTTATAAAAATTACAAGCCACCTGTTTACTGTTTTAAATAATTGTTTTAATCATAATCATAATTTTTCAGTGAAAATCCAAATTAGCCTTTCGAAAAAATTTCTTCGAAGGCGGCCGCCACTCCCCCCTTTTCTAAATTTTCGAGTCGTGGACCCGCAAAGATTTTAAGGCACACTGTGCTGGAGTTCAATGGATTTTCGATTTACCGTGCTTCTATGGAACACGGTTTTATTGACTGCTTTATTCCCAAGCCGGACTCTCCGGCAAGATTCAACAGACACTACAAGAACGCCGAGTCATTAATTTGCCCACAGAACACTACAAGTTTTACGGTTCCACGTTAATTCAGTCACAACCGGTGTCAAAAGGGAGGAGCCAGATTGTAAGTGTTCAGAAGGCTGCCAGCTGGCAGTTTCCTTCGTTGAATGCAAATCGCAAACAAGCAGAAACATTGTTTTATGAACTGGATCGCAGAAACGTACAAAACATCAGTACAAAATCATCGGGTAACACATTATGGTAGCGTCGACTACGACACACCCCAAAATCTTTGCCTCCCCTCCCCCCTTCCCCGGACGGAAACCCTGAGACCACCACTGTTATGCTGAGAAAAAAAACAAGCGCATAGAATTTAGTGTAATTTATTCATTGTGAATTTTCTTAAAAAGCGGTGACAATCAATCAAAAAATAAGCAAGAAAGAAAACCAAAACCTTACGCTCAGGCAGGCCAGATGAATAGATTGAAAATCATTCGAGTGATTTCTCAACCATCAAAATGCAAGAAAATTGAACAAGTTGGGAAGCAGCAATCACACTGTCATTGGTTTCACAACATTTCCATGTTCACTTCTAATCAAAAGTAGTCCAGTAAAATTGTTTTAATAAATTCCAAAAGTCCGCAAAAGGTATTAGCCGATTTGCTCTTCGCAGTAGTGAAGATGAATAACAAGAAAAATCAACTTTCCAAGCTCTCGTCATAATGTCAACAAATCTACTGAATAATATACGAGCAATCATGGCGTACGGCAACACTCGTAATGTTTACATTGTTATAGTAAACATGAACTAACTGACCTCGCCCTCGCTGAGCGCTGAACATTCTGCCAGTAGACATGTCGCCAAGAAAAGCAACAAACGTATCATTTTCTTCTCATTCTCTAGTTATGCAAAAATAATCGCCAGACCAAAACTAAAAACCTCGGCATTAAGGGAAACCGTGCACGACGGAAGATAGTAAACGGCTTTACGTGTGAAAAAAGCTCGAGCAGACTACGACTCGTAACAATTTATTTCAGGCGAATCAATAACAATAGAAATTTGTACCAACAACTTAACAAATATCACCAAGATACAGAAATTAAAGTGGCATCCAAAAAAATCACATATAAAATTACAAAACTAGCACAATTTGCACATACTCATTTTTTGACTATTTGTATCACATCCTCGTGATCTAGTTTGTGATGGATACCAACTCTTTGCGGAGAGAATTTGGTACTGGTTCCCCAAACAATAGCATATCGGAATTGGCTAGCCAGTGTTCGATGCAGCGCGTGACAACAATGCTCCACAGTGCAGCCTGCACGCAGGATAATTCCATCCTCTGGGCCTGAAAGAGTATATCTGTGACATGTGATCAACTCTATTAACTACTACAGAGAAATAGGCATCTTCAGCCGTGAAAGCTTTCGCAAAATAGGTACAGCCATAACAAAGGTGCACAACTCACCTAAATCCGGAGCATTTCCAGGTTTCTTCGTATATACACGCACTAAGGCTAAGTATTCCCATATTTTCTCCAGAAGATAGTCCATATTCAGATTCATTTCACAAGAAATGACGACATGGTGCGGTAACCTGAAAATCATTCCAACATCCCTCTAAGCAGATCATAGGTAACTCGAAGCCAGTACAATTTTACAGAATAAACTTCGAACGTTCAACAAGGATTCTCTCACTGTGCAAAAATTAGCATTTAAGCAGGAAACAGATTCTGCGAATCTCATAGAATATGGATTGTTTCTGTCAAAGAAACCTATAAAGACGGTCAATTTAACATCGCTCACCTCGCTAAACGGTCGACTTCTTCTATAGATATTTGATCGATCTTATTGTACACATATAAGCAAGGAATGTAAACCCGATTCCCCTGTATGACATCGATGAACTCGTCCACACTAAAAATATAAGTGAGTCATTTCAATTTGACGGTTATAACCCCATGCCGATCATTCGAAAAACCAATCCAGTTTACGGAGTAATGAGGACGGATAATGAGGCTTTGTGAGGCTTTCGAGTAGCAAGTCCACACAGAAAAGAGTCCACAGGTCCAAAAGTCCACACAGGAGCATTTTTCAAAGATAAGAGGAAAAATCAGAACGGGGAGAGATGACAGGCTCAAATTGGAGACGATCAAAAACTTGATACAAGTCATAAGTAAAAGTGAATTAAGATTTGCTATTTACAGCTCCGTGAAACGCTAGAAAAAAGAAGAAAAAACACCGGAGTTTGATACTCATAGCACATGATCATTGATAACGAGTATCAACTGTGGACTGAGTATAAAGCGTTTGCACTCACGTTGCATCTTCGCGAAAAACAACATCCGCATTGAATATCTTATATTCATGTAGAATTGTCATGATCATCTTCTCATTACAATGTGTCAATGGAGTAGTGTGAGTGAATTTTACACCGCCAACCTAGATCGAGTACTGAATGAAGCATCGAAAAATCGATAGCTTAGTGACTAACCTTTTTCTGCTTCACATAGATGTGTGGCGGTTGTTTATTTAAACGAATTCCGACACTTTCCAGCTCTTTCTCCAAAAGGGGTCGTTGTTGATCGGATTTGCCCGCATCAAGCATCATTAGAATTACATCAGCAGTCTTAGCAACAGCAATCACCTGTCGTCCGCGTCCTCAAGAACACTTCTTCAAGATGTGAAACTTTCCTACATGAACCTTTTGCTATTATACATGAAACTAACGCACAAGATTGGAGATGGACAGATTAGTATAATTAATAGAAAATTGGAATTAATTACTGCTTCTGATTTTCCCAAAATGGAATCAACGATGTAACGCAAAAATGTCGGAAATTAATATTCTGAAAACAGAAAGGCCTACGCGGAAAGATGACGATGTACACGTAAACTACGTTCCGAATGATTGAGCAACGGGTGAAATAGACGAGAAAGCTGGTAGCGTGGATACAAAATCAGAGCAAGGATCATAAGGAAGGAGTAGAAATTGCAGAGATAAATAAAAAAGCTATCAAAATACAGAAAGTTTCGCGATATACCTTTGCCTTGAGATGCTCCTTCAATGATTCCAGGAAGATCAAGAAGTTGAATGTTAGCCCCTTGGTAATTAATAACGCCAGGAATACAAGTTAGTGTGGTAAATTCGTATCCAGCCACTTCGGACTGAGTGCTAGTCATATTTGAAAGAAGTGTTGATTTTCCCACAGAAGGGAATCCAACCTGCAAAAGGATCAATTTTCATGGATACAAAAACTGAGATATTGAACTACCATTGCGACACGAGCATCCCCACTTTTCATAACATCAAAGCCATCTCCCTTAGCTCCTCCCTTGCCTCCCACAGGTTCCAATAACTGTTGGCGGTATTTTGCAAGCTTCGCCTAAAGTGACCTTATAGGAAATGTATATTTTCCAGAATGAAAACGTACCTTCAGGAGACCGAGATGGTACTCAGTAGCTTTATTCTTTTGCGTCCGTGCGATTTCTCGCTCGATCTCAGCAATTTTTTCGACAATGCCCATTCAAATCTGAAAGAACTCGTACAGACAGCAGCACTATTTATCACCTCTTGCAAAGAACTTTCGTAGGCTGACCTTACCAGGTATACAATAACAGCATCTTGCTCAGATTTTACTAACAGAAAGAAAATGGCAGTAGAAAAACATAACAGTAATACTTACAACGTAGAACGAACAGTTAACAATTATGTACATTTGAACTACACTTTGAAAAATATTATACCACACCCGCATCCAGAAAATGGTGATACATATAACACTAACAGAGCTAGTGCTAATACATAGTACAAAACAATTGATACTTTAGAGATCGAAGAGATTTTCAAGTGATGGAAGTGGTGCATCTTCAGTGACTTCTGTGAGATCTGGGAGCGAGTCAAAGGCTTTCCTTACCTGATAAAATGCATATCGTCAGAAAATAATAGGGTAAAACAGAAGTCAAACAATTTTCTCATGTAAGACAGCTTCACCTACCTCAGCGAGGTCATTCCTCGCTCGTTCCTCCTTTCTTCTGACTTCCTTCAAGAGTGTTTCATGAAGATCCACTGTCGCGCGAACGTTTACAATCATATCATCAAACAACTTCTGCAGATTACGACGCTCTAACATTTCATCAGCAAGCCTGAAAAAATGAACAGAGTTCCATCAAAAAGTTATTGAAAATAGAAGCCAAAAAAGGTACCTTTGACAATACTCCTTGACAAGCGGCTCGGCCTCATCAATTTCTGCCAACAACTTTTTCGCCTCTGCACTGTTCCTGATAGTGTCAAGTGACTGAGGGGTAGCAATCATTTCGGAATATGAAGCAATCTTGTGTCTGAAAATGAAACTATTGAAAAAATTGAATTACAATTATGAAATGAGTTAATGGAGGGCTGAAAAAGATTGACTCGCACCTGACTTCAGCATCTGCACTGGGCGGATAATCGAGCTTCCTCAGTGATTCCAACACCTCGGTTACGTTTGTGCTAACTGATTCCGAATCGTACTCTGGAGGAGGCGCCGCCGCCTAAATAACAAAGGATCGTCCTGCGTGATGCTACATCTGCATTTTTCTCATGAACATTGTCTATCGGATGGGCGAACAGTAACTGAGCTGCACAAGTCGCGGGCAGATGAACGCGAACATTTTAGCTATTTGAAGTGTGTGATTTAATGATCGCGGTCATAGCGAATTTGCAAATTACCGTGAAGGCTAATCAAACACATATAACTGATCATGATTACTAAACTGATCACAACAAAAACACACGGATAGTTTCTACAAAACTACAGAATTTCATGCCCCAGAATGAACAGAGAATGGTTACCATAAAAATGATGGAGCAACAACTTTACTCAACAATCGACAGCATCTCCTACGCAAAGATGCTGACGTTGTTGTTGCCGCGTGGAAGGTTTTAACAAATTTTACAAACAATTAATTTACTAACAAGGGAAGCTTGTTTAGTCGAAGTGGCCTTTTTAAATCAGATGTATACCATAATAAAGAGCATAAAATGCTGAATCCAAACCTGCCTTCCCTTTCTGCATACTTTCATGGACGACGAGTTTTGAGCGTTTTTGGAGATGAAAACTGAATGTGCATTGAGACAAAATGAGTTGCTCAAATCTTACTAGCCCTCAAATAATGCAATCAAGAGTGAAGCTAGAAAAAGAATTACGGCTATTTTTCTTCTATCTGCACATTCAATTTTTTGCTCCAATAAGCGCTCTATCTCCTCGTCCACAAAGCTCTCAGATAAGGAAGACAGATTTGGAATCAGCATTTTATGCCCTTCAATATGGCAAACATCCCATTCAAACCGCCTCTTCGACTAAACATGCATTCCTTGTAAGAAATTTTCAAACGATGTTGCGAGTAACGCTAGCACTTCATTAACGATTCTGAACAAACAGATGATTTTAATTTAGGAAACGCGTTAACAAGGCAAGCGGCGATGAATGTGTGGATTGACGTTTGCACAGATCAAGAACTATCAAAAGTGAGCGCGTTAAGTAGTAATTAAGTAGTGGCACAACGTAACGATCCAGAAGATGACTTATGAAGGGCATGTAGATAAGAAGAAGAATATATTAACTCCTGATAAAAAAGCTTCAACGTTCTCGACTTCCTTGCATCAAGAAACCAAAAACCTATAACTTTAAGAGATGAAATATTGAATCCTTGCAGACACCAAGAAAGTATGAAAACGAGAGACTTACTGAAGCAGGAAAGAGCTCTGGAATTAGTGGTGCATGGACATGAGCCAGGTGAGAATTTGAGCCACTGTTGCTGCTTGATTTCCGCCTTTTAATTACTGCATCCAAACTGAAATGAAACTTCTTCTTATACACATGTTTTCTGCGGACAATAGGTACAAAGTAAAGGGACTCACGGCGCTAATTGTTCTTCGTTATAAATCTGTCGATCTCTCCAAACATTTAGTGTTTTGATCATAGCTTTATCAAGCTCTGGCCCAGATATCTTCGCAGCGTGCCTTCAGATGCAAATAAATCAACACCACATCACTTACAATCACGTAATATAATCATTACCTGAAAGCCGGCTCTAGTACACCATAAAATTTTGTCATAAATTCAGGATTCTTCTTGCGACTATTCTGAATGACGTCGTTGGCAACGTACAACAAGTTAACAATCTGCGAAGAGTTCGTCTCCTTCCGGACTTCCTGTAAAAACTAAAACTACTTCAATTTTATGGGAAGATCATCGAGTAAAGATACATTTTACCTTCAACCAAATCTGTACGATATCGTCCATGTGTCGATGATGATGCATTAACCACAAAGACAAAGTGTTTATAGAGTCCTGCTGAGGTCTGAGCTTGGCAAGCCTTTCACGCATAGCTACTTCAGAGAACCCAGACATTATCTCACCTAAAAAATACGGAATGTAGAGCAAAGGAAACTTCTTGCACGTTCTGAGTGACAGTAACCTGCCCCAATGGAGAAAGAAACTGCGTGTTCCACGAGGTCAAACAGAGCATCTACAACTCTGTAAGTGAAGTAACCTATTTGAACTCAAACTGAGCTATCCAGGAATGAGCTACAGACAAGAACAACATCAGGCCTCCTGTGCTTCTGGGAACTCATTGAGCGTTTTGGCGTGAAGTAAAACGTCCGCAATCACACACCGGAAACTACGCCTACACGAGTTGCTACCGTATTTTCGCCCATTCCTCTCCACACAACCGTCGTTGTCTTGAATTCAAAAGAAGGACTGTCCGGGACCTGCTTCCAGCGCGGATTGGCAGTGCGTTCGCTCATTAATCTATTTTCCCAGGGTGGAGAAGGGTCTCGATGCATTGGCGACCTTTTGAGTGCCTTACCGATCAAGGATACTGGCTCAACTTCTCCAGGAAATTGTTTTCTCCAGTTCCAAAGCCAGAGTCCAACATATCGCTCTAGAAGGACCCTTTTCTACGGCACTCTGCACCGGCACCCCACCGCGAGATATAGGGGCTCGATTTCTCCGGCTGTCAACCTGATAATCCTACTCGCCTTGGTCTAAGGGCGTAAGGTATTTAGTCAAAGTGTGAAGACTTCGCAACCGTCATTAGCGATAATTAGCGGTACATGCTATGTCACACCTCTACTGGAATCTAGCAGGCACCTAATCCACCAAAGGAGTGCGGAAAGCCCTCCCCCCCCCCTCCCCCAAGAATGGGTCGCGAAATTTTCAAAAGTTACATTGTCATAATAATGTGCAAGTGACTTGTTCATACTTGTAAATAACTAAAATAACTTTGAAAATTGTTAAAAAATTCGAACCTTGTAAATAAAATTTTCGGGCATGGCTGGTGCTAAGCTCCCTTTTACTAAGAACTCGGGGTTATAAGCCAGCGAAAATTTTGTGGAGCATACCAAAAATTTTTCCGGAATGTTGTCCCCTCCCCCCAAACGGAAATCCTGGGTACATCACTACACCTAATCTAGCTGTCAGCACAGCTAAATTTAGCTTAGTCAAGACTTACCTTCGACTCCGACCCAAATCTGCAAAAAGAAATCGAAAATCTCGTAACAAAAATTTGGCTCAAAGATTTTTTATAAGCCTGATGATTCTTCAGAAGCTGTGAATATATCCACTCATTGATAGAAAAGGTGACGTCAGCTAAAAAAATCACGGGTTTATAATGGAGAAATCCAATAAGTTAGTACTTTGAGATCTTAAAGGTACCAGATTGTTCGAAGCTGTTCCCTTCTTATCGCAACTGCACAAAATTTTCTCTTCTCTGCAAACCTGCTTTCAATACGTTGTTGACTACGAGTCGGAAAAAGCATTTATGGAAGAAGTATACCTAGGAGAAATAATGAGCACCGAAACTTGTGGACATGTGACCCATTGTCGATGGGTGGTCATTAGCTGCGATTGGCTGATCATCAAGCATTTTGTAGTAGAAGACTCAAGCCTCACTTCAAATTTTCTGACCAATGTGTTCAGTAAAAATGAACTGGGAGAAACAAAAAACTCGATTCTCAGTAATCTCCGTCATAATCCTCATCCTTGGATAAAGCTCAAAAGACCAGTATATGAACTCCCAGAAGTGATGAATTGTTATGATAGCCGATATTGAATGAAAGATGGTTCGCTAATACATGCTTGCTTCAATCAGCTGTTGATGCAGTCTGAGGAGCCTATTATTTGGACAGCAACAAAAAGTTTTAAACGTTGCTTGCTTATATTAGGTCGTTCCGAAACTTCTTTCTGTTTTTTCAACATATCATAAAAACACGTGGAACGAAGAAAGGGTAACGCTTTAGGCACTGTCCGACGCAACTTTTCTTCCTCTTTTCAACTGTCATATTCCTGTGCCGCTTGTTCTTGTGATCAGTGAGATAATGGCCGAAATTTCGGACCCATGGTTTTTACCATGTCCAACTTTGGCAATATTTCACAATCTTCTGTTTTGACTTTTGGAGAAGCCTTGATAACAGTTAGATAGAGTAAGCAAAGCGCAATTTTAGGCAATTTTTTGGCATCTATAGCTAGCCTCAAAACATTTTTGGAATTATTTTTCTGATGCTATCAAATTCCACTTTTGGGGATGCCAAAAGCCATAGAACATGAAACGGCGCACAAATAAGGTGTCATTCGATGCAGCTTTTTCTTCTCTTTCTGATGAGTGCTTTTTCTTCTTAGTTTGTGTTTTTGGCAATAAAATTTCCATAAATCTTGATTTTGAACCCGCCTCATGATGTATCCGTGAAATGCAAAATCTTCTATTTGGAAGCGGTAAACGCTCAGTTACTTTGTAAAAATAGTGTACAATCATAAACGACTTTTGAAAGTTTCGAAAACCGAAGACTTGTTGATGTTCAGAGCGTTTGTGTGTTTTGTGAATTCGAAAAAGTGAAGATTTCTGAAAAAGATATCTCAAAGAATAATGAGAAGGGAGCTGAGATTGCCAAAAAATTGCATTGCAGCGTCCGAAATTTCGGCCATTATCTCACTGACCACAAGAGCAAGCGGCACAGGAATATGACAGTTGAAAAGAGGAAGAAAAGTTGCGTCGGATAGTGCCTAAAGCGTTTCTCTTTCCTCGTTCCAAGTGTTTTTATGATATGTTGAAAAAACAGAAAGAACTTTCGGAACGACCTAATAACAAGAAATCTCATTTTTTTTGCTTACGGCTCACCTCAAGACGTAAGTCGCATGCGCCAGCGCTTAACGAGCCTTTAGCATGTTGAGAATAAATATCCGACCAACGGCGGCGTGTCAGGATCCTCCAAAGGCCTTCTTCTCCAGGCGCACCCGGCGGAGGTAATTATCACTTCGCGCCTACCTCGCGCCTACGTCGCACCTATCTGCACGTTCCCGCATTTGTTCCCCTCCGGACAATCTTCCTGTTTCTACTGGCATAATCAGAAAGGAATTACAAAAGCGACGAGTAAATGATTCCCAAAAAATAATGAAAATGCTATAGAAGGAAGAAAGTGCTTCCGATCGTGTTCATTGAAGATGTGGTAGGTGAGAGTAGAATGAAAGCTGATAATGTTTTCTCAGGGCGACGGGTTACAGATAATTTTGAAAAACGTACAGCTCTGAAAAAAAGTTTGGAGTTATCTTTTTTCGCATGTTATATAGCTGGCCATTTGCACTACAATCAATCTTATGAGCACTGAATCTTCCATAATTATGTATTTATTATTCAATTCAGGAAAATTAGATTTAGAGCAAAATTCGCCTCTGTTATTCTTGTTCGGTCTTACCTTATTGCTATGTTTGTTCTCTTTTTGTCGCACCTTCTTTGGAGGAAAATGGTTACAGATTTTTTCATCAATATTTTTTCATGCATAATTTTTCCAGAGGAGTCTTGTGAATCGACTAAACATTTAGTTAGCGTTTAACGCCCCTAATCTCACCTACTACTTCTCTAATGCCCACGGTCACAAACATTTTGTTATCTGTCTGGTTATTTTGATGTCTGTTTTCACAGCACTTTCATTTTTTTGGAATTCCTTTACTCGTCGCTTATATGCTGACCTCCAATTAACGTCAGGAGAAACAAGGCAGGAGTCCGGAGGGGAACTAATGCACGAATGTGCCAGATAGTTGCGACATAGGTGCGAGGCAGGCGTGAAATGAAAATTACATCCCACGGATACGCCTGGAGAAGCAGCGGCGAGCCTTTGGAGGATCCTGGCCGCCCTCCCCGACTAAGAATGAACCACAAAAGTTGATAACCGTAAACAACAATAACACCACCACCAACATGAGTATTGTCACGAACAATTTCTCAAGTATATTTAGCTCTTTATATTGGTCCTAAACCTAGGTTGCTTGGTCGTTAACATTCCATTTCTTATCATATCTTTGCGACATAGGAAGCGACAGGTAAAAAAGTTTTCTCTCTCTCTCTCTCTATAGTCTTACCCGCTTTAAATGTTCATTATGCGTAGTGGACAATCCAGTGAGAAAATAATCGTTAGGTCTACATTCCCCGAAAATGATCTTGAAAATAAATTCATTTACGCTATCTGTGTGCTAATGTCGACAGTTTGAGATTCAAATACCTACTAGCTTTCGCATCGGAATTTGATTGGCCAGATTCAATTGTTTCAATATATTCATCAACGAGCCCTGAGGGTAAACGCAACCCTTGAGGATATGTTTCTTTTCCTCAAGGGTGGAATATATCTCAATGGCAGCGTCCAGGCTGTGACCGATTAGGCCGATCCTGAGTGTAGAGCCCAAGAGAGGGGCATTCGTTGGTCCGGCCTTCTAAAGTTGTCTCTGAATGGAGGCAATGGGCCTGGAACAGCCAAAATGCTTCAAGCCCCCACCCATGTACTGCACTGAAGCTCGGCGCCCTTAAGACAGGGTCTCCAGAAATCAGGTATTTTGGGGGTCTTGGACAATTTAAACTTCATAACTGTTATCAGGGTCGCGGAAAGGCTCCAGATTGGCAATATGCGGGCGAAATCTTGAGTGGACGCTGTCTTCAAGGGATCTTACTCCGGGAAGTAATAAACTTGTTAATCATCAACTTTACTTTGAGAGAAAAAATTAACCTATTTATTTAGCTACAAAGTTGACATCTGAGGTGATACACAGCATGGAAAAAAACGAAATAAGAACGAAATGATAACCAAGAGAACACTGGAGTAAAAACAAATGATTTGAAAGAGTAACAGTATACAAAAATGGTAGAAGCAACGGGAAGGTGCATTTTTTCGGTGGACCAAAAAAATAATTTAAGGGAGCACAGCGAGCAGCAGAGTCGCTTTTCTGGAAGACCAACCATACATCAGTTAGAATTTGTTGCTGAGAAAAAGAACGTCGAATCTCAAAAAGTTACCTGGAAAATGACAAATCAGAATAGCCTATGATTTCAGAAAAACTTCTCTGAAGACAAGTAGGTCTCGCGATGATAGTTTCCATTAGGAGTTCATTCCATGTTTTGTTGACACTAAGAAAGAGTTATAGAACTGCTTGTTCCTCACTTTCCCTACTACAAGCCTGAAACGTAGTTCTCTGGTACAATGGTTGAAATTCGATAGACTGAAGAAAACCATGCATTTCTTATTCATCCTCCTAGTCATTATTTTGAACACAAAGTTTTGGTCGTAAAGGGTTCTCCTATACGCAAGAGTGGTTGGGCTAGGACAGAGAGCCTGGATTGGTACGACAATTGGAGTATTCCAACTCAGGCAAAAAATCGGAATAGACAATGTAGACAATTTCTGGACTCTTTCTGTTACTTCAGCAAGCCTTTCCTGCGCAGACCAAGCGGGAGCAACGTTCGAATATGAATTTAGACGACGAAAAGGCGAAAGAGAATTTTTACATCAGTAATTTTGAATCC